CAGGTCCCGGCGTGGGGAAATTTACCCCCCTCCGGCCGGAACGCGCATGTCCCGGTAATTATTATTATCAATAATGCATTGCGATTTATCATGAGCCCTGACAGCTGATTGGCCTGGGTCCAAGACCTCAGAGATCATTTAAATAAGCCCTCATTGATCAGGGAGGGGCGAGGCATGCTGGGCTTTGTAGTCCAGCCCTGCAGGCGACAACGGCGTGTTCGTCCCGGGAGCGCAGCTAATTAGCATCCGCGCTCAGATTGGCTGGGTCGCGGACGAAATAGGGGGGTGGGGGGGGACCCTCTTTCTCCCCAGCGACCCGAATCCTTGGGGATAAATGAAAAAGAACTGTGCACCTAGGAAAAAGCAGGGGGCTCCCGTGAAAGTTTCGCAACGAGCGTCCCGGATGAGTGTGCTCCAAAAATGACTTTTAGTAAGGCTGATACCCGCACAAGTCGTGGAGGAAGGTTTTCTCGGTGGCTCCATATTTTTGGCTCCTCTACCCAAAACTCAAAAAGCAAACCTAAAACCGAGATCGGACCCGTGTCCCCTGCCATCTTCTTTGGGGTTGAAATGTTTAAATGGAGTTTCGTGATGCCTGAAGAATAATAAAAATGGTGGTGTATTCAACCTTCCCGCTCCATCTCAACTCACAAAGTGACCTTCGAGTTTCCGAATTTTCCGATAATTCCCTCACCATAATTTCTTTGCTTTAAATGATAAATAGCCCCCAGAATTCATAGTCGCAAAGGATTAGTTTGTTGTTATAATGCGACCTTGATTTTGGTTTTTGGTGTTTTTTTTTAACTTTAAAATAACAGAATACTAAATCTAGAAAGGGCAGTTTAAAAAGGAGGACAGCCAGATAATATCAAAAGAGCAAGCCATTGCATTTTCCCCCCACAGCCATAAATGTCTGATAACATCATACTTACATATACTTTACATACTTTATCACATCACCCATGGAAGCACTGTGCTCCGGGCGTTACTAAACTAGTCATTATTGAATTTTTTTGCAATGTAGAAGTTACGGAAAAGGTATATATATAGTTCAAAGTGATTCTATCGTCCCAATATGGGGATAGTTGGCATTTTCTAAAATTGTATGTGTGAGTACAATATTATATTATATTATATTATTATATCATATTATCTTGGATGCATATATGGCTATTCAGTAAATCTCTGTGTTTAATTCCATTAACTGCCTTGCACAATGTAAATACTTAATAGATGCTGAATAAATGCAAAATCTTCCACCTTCTAAGTCTTTGATGGGTGTTTCCGTGACGCCTCTGGGCTTTTGTCTCTATTTGGCATTTACTTCATTAAGGGGCTGCAGCTATAAACCCTCCCTTCACATTTGTGCATTGCATTTTGTTGATTAGTTATTCATCAGGTTCCCAGCTTGTAAGCGTTTCTTGTAAGCTCATCAGGAATGCAAGCAAAATAGAACGTTGGGCTCAGAAGTATGTTCACCTGGGTGTTTGGACAACCCAAGGCAAAAAATAAATCAGCTTGATCGTCTTTTTTATATCCATGGCCATCAATAAAAACTTACTGAAGAAAGGGAAGTTAACCTCCAGTTTTTGGTCTCTCAGAATGTTTTGTGTTGTTTTATGTAAGTCCCCTAAAGCAAAAAGGATAGAACTACCGTCAACGGCCGAAGTTGGAAAGGCAAGAATTTGGTTTAATAACACACGGAAGCCTTTAGAATTCTCATACTGAGTAATAAGACCAATTAACGCCTGTCTTGCAGACTAATCTGCTTATATTCCCAACACCTTTCCTGTGTGAGATAGTGTGGCGGGAGATGCAATTTACCAGTCCACGTGAGTGCACGGTAACTTTACAGCTCAAGAAATAGCAGTGGGCTGAAGGAAAACTTCATGGAAGAGATCATTGTTTGTACTTATTTATTTTAGTTGGTGATCGTTAAAACATGCTCACCATTTCTACTTAGAACAAGGTAATACAATTGTGCCACTGGAGTCTCCAAGTGATAATAATAATTGAAAATGCAATGCACAAATGTGGAGGAAGGGTTTATGGCTGCAGCTCCTTACAATGAAGTTAACTCCAAATAAAGACAGAAACACCCATCGAAGACTTACAAGGCTGACAATTTCACATTTACTCAACATCTATTGGGTATTTACATTGTGCAAGGCAGTTAATGGAATTAAATACATAGAGATGCACTGCACATATATCCAATAAAAGATAATGTTGTACTCACAATTTTAGAGAATTTAAAATACCCCCATATTGGGATAATACAGTCTCTTTAAACTTTACACCTTTCCCATCATAGTCTGTGTTGCAAAAAATTCCAATAATGACAATAATAATTTTTTAAAAACCTAGAAAGACTCACTAAATGCACACTTTCTCGTTCAGTCTTCCTGGGGAGATCTGCATTGTTTTGTCCATTTTGCAATTTTTGAGGAAACTGAGGTTCAAAGATGTGAAGTGACTTAATTAGGAAGTGGTTGAGCCTGACTCCAAAATTCTTCCTGTCACCCCCCAAGCCCTTTCATCCTGTAGTAGCTCAATATAGATGAAATAGCTAAATAAAAAATATATTGTGGTAAAAGAAAACATGTGAAACGAAGCCTGCCCTAAGTTCTTCCTATAAACCCAGGGTCTGTAGAAACGAATTCTACAGAGAAAGCTGAGGAGAGGTTTCCCTCAGGTGGAACCCTCCCATGAATATCAGACCCAGAGAAGAGAGGGAGCATCTGAGATTGTGTTTCTCTCCATGCCATTAGTTTGGCTCGAATAAACTTATAAAAAAAAAAAAAAGAAAGAAAGAAAGAAAAGAAAAGATACAGTACAGCCCTAACCGGTTTGGCTCAGTGGATAGAGTGTCGCCCTGCGGACTGGGGGGTCCCAGGTTCGATTCCTGGGGCATGTGCCTTGGTTGCAGGCACATCCCCAGTGGGAGGGGTGCAGGAGGCGGCTGATCCGATGTTTCTAACTCTCTATCCCTCTCCCTACCGCTCTGTAAAAAATCAATAAAATATATATATTAAAAAAAGATACAGTACACATTTTGAATCTACCTCTAACATATAATCAAAGGTCACTTTAAATTTATCATTTAATATTCCTTAAACCAAGAGACCTGGGTGGGACCAGAGATAGAAAAAAAAAAAAACCAGAATAAAGGATTTTATTAAACTTTTTTGCTTTCTGACTAGGTTTCTATAATCTGATCATTCTCTCTGTTTGCCCCAGGCAGAAATTCACTTGTTATGCCTTTTAACAAGCAGACTCGAAACACGGAAGTTTTTTTCTGTTTGAGGCTATTTGGGATACATAATCTTTTTTCATCCTTACTAAAACTCACTCTTATTCCCATTTCACAGTTGGGAAAACCAGCTCAGATCTGTCAGGACTTCGCTGAATGTATGAATTCAGTAACTGTCCAGTTAAGGGATACAGTCTCAGTGGAACTCAGATAAAATCTTTCCACAAAGTCCCTCTCCTGCTCTATCCTGCAGGGAATGTTCTTCCTATAAAATGGGCATGTCCTCATCCAAATGAGGCTCTGCCTATTAGTGTTGATAGCACAGCTCAGAATTTATCATCATAGGTTTCATTGTACATCCGTTTATCGCTTGTTGTTCACACTGTGGGCGCCATAGGGGCAGATGCCTTCACCACTGTGTCCCTAGCACTTGGTCGCAGTAACGGAACACAGAAATCACAATAAATAACAATGGATCGATCAATCAATCAATGGCGAATGACTTTGGGGGCCTGAACACAAAATAAGGTATTACAAGGCAAATACCACTGGTGGGAATGTAAACTGGTACAGCCACTATGGAAAGCAAGATGTCAGTTCCTCCAAAATTAAGCATATGATCCAGTAATTCCACTTCTGAATATAGACCCCAAAGGATTGAAAGCAGGGACCTAAGAGATACCTGAACACCCATGCTCATAGCAGCATTAGTCACAGGAGCCAAAAGGCGGAAGTAACCAACAGTCCACCCCCAAGTGAATAAACAAAATGTGCTTTATACACACAATGGAATATTATTCAGCTTTAAAAATAAAAGAAATGCTAACACATGCTACAACATGGATGGGCCTGAGGATATTATGCTAATTGAAATAAGCCAGGCACAGAAGGCAAACACTGTATGATTTCACTTACACTAGGGACCCAGATTAGTCAGCTCATGGAGATAGAAAGTAGATGGTGGTCACCAAGGACTGCGTGGAGGAGGGAGTCACTGTTTAACGCAAGCATGTCAAACTCAAAGGCTAACACGGGCCAAATAAACAAGGTTTAAGTGTATGTGGGCCGCAAAAAAAAAAAAAAGCTTCAGTTTTCATAGACAGTACAAGACTAATGACGTGGCCATGGGCTGCCAAAATATTCGGTGCTGGCATTAGTGGGGAGAAATGGTGCGCATGCGCGTACGGCGCGTAAGGGAAATGAATGCAACACGATGATAGTCATCAGTCATTAGCGGATGTTGTAGTTTGTTATTAATGATGTATAACAGAATATTATAAGAATTAAGTTATGAAATTTTATTAAATATGTTTCTTACATACTGTTATATTGGCTGGGCCGCAAAAATATTCGTTGTGGGCCGCGAGTTTGACATGCTTGGTTTAATGGGAATGGAGTTTCAGTTATGTAAGATGAAAAGAGTTCTGGAGATTGAACCACAATTTGAATGTACTTAATACCACTGAGCAGTACAATTAAAGACGATTAAGATTTGCCACAATTAGGGGAAAAAAGGAATAACAAACTGATGGTTGCCCAACTGTTTAAATGTATTGAAGATCATCAAACTGTATGTACGCTTACAGTGGGTGAATTTCTGATACGTGAAGCCGTTTTTCAGAAGGCAATTAGCGATCTGGCTCTCTTTATCATTGAAAGGGCCAGAATTAGGTGGGTGGTTTTCCCCTGTGGGCTTGAAAAGCCCGAAGTGGCCAGGCTGGCATCCGTAAGTCATGACCCACCCCTGCAGAAGCACTGCCCCTTTGGGTCTCTAAGTTTTCATGCCAGGAAGTGGCCAAGGGGCCCAACGTGGTAACCACCGATGATTTAATTCAGGAAATGTATGAAGCGTCGGCTTTTTCTCATGGAGCAACTCTTGGAGGCTACGGACTTTCATCGATTGGATCGCTGCCTGCCTCCCATGGAAGACTTTATGTCTGGAAGGAACTCTTCAAATTCTAGAGATTTAGAAGTTGAGCTAAAATTGCTTGAAATCTTGCTTGTAATTCACTGGGAGTGCTTTATTATGGGGCCAAATGTCCACTTTTCCGAGTGTCCAGGCCCAGAGCCCTTCTGCTGGGGGTGATTTATGGCTGCAAAGTCTGGCTAATTGCAACAGTCACCACTTAACTGACGATATCTACCCCCCTCCACTTTGATATCTCTCTGCCCACAGCCATTTGATCAACCCCAAATTGGTATCGAACAATGTCTAGCTCCAATTCATCTTCTTGAGTTGCCACTAATATATAGAAGCTCACCACTGTGTGTGTATATATATAT